TATATCTTCATAGCGTTTGGATATTAAAGCGAAATTTCATCACGATGTTTAGTCTCTACAAACGCCACCATGATGTGGGTATCCCGAACCTTGTTAATCTACTCACCAGATAACGTAACATATTTATCTGCTGATGTACGATTTGTACGAATTCACAAAGAAAATTTCAACGCAGTTCTTTGTTTTTAATGTATTCCTTCTGTCATAAACAGCAAACGGTTTCCGACGATCCATATTTGTCTCGAACAGATCTTCAACGTGATGAAATTTGTGGATGTATAGTGCCCTGATGTTTCATTAATGATATAGATTGATATGAGGCAGTAAATGGTCATAATCATTATCGTAATGGAAAATATCTTGTGTTCGATGGATGGCGATTAGTTATAAACATAGTTCTAATTTTGGAATGTGTCATTCCTTAAAAGATCCAGATTGATTTCAAAATTCAAATGTGACACCGTTGATGCATAAGACGCTTACTATTCTAGAACATCTCGTCTTATCCTCATTTTACCATTTCAAGAACATCTAGAGTGAATTTCAGAAATGTGTTAGTGTGGCGGTTGATTGCATAGTTTATTTAGATGTTAGATATGATATATAGAGCCAATTACACTTCGTGTGGGTAATGCATTCGTGGTAGCATTATCAACGAACTTCTGCCTTCCACAATAATAATTTGGGTGATTTCCCCGTCATGTACTTTTGACATCGACTGTTTGGACAAGGCTAATCCATTACGATAATTCCAAGTCCATTGAATGATTGATCTCACCACAACCATACCACAACGTATAGTCGCTTCAAAAACCGAGCCTTTCGATTGCTATAACTATCACCTGACCCGTGATTTTGGTGTCGCGCTTTCGAGAGATAATCAGCCACATCCAAGATGGCGACAGAAAGAAACTAATTACAGTCGTGCAGTGGGCGTAAGCGATCAACTCGTTACAATACACCATTCACTGTGGACCTTTAACACGAGTTCGTGTATTACAGCGACGTAAAAGCGCATTACTGAAAATATGATATCGAATATTTGTAAATGACATTTGAACAATGGTCGCAGGACAAGTCCCGCCATGACTGGGGACACCAGAGGGGGTTATTTTGCCTTAATAAATGCATAATTAACGTAATGCACATCCATTAAGATGCTTCACCAAAATGGAGTTTTCCGGAGACAACAGACATGATTTCAAGGAAAAATCTGACGTGTGAAAACACATGGATTTTCAATGTAAAGAAATGTCGATTTTCTCGGGGGTAATTAAAGCCAATTCAATACTGAAGACATGTTTTGAAAAATCGGTTTCCCCTGTACTTTATCTAGAGACGAGTATGATATATATGTATACAGTTATAATTCTTAAAGGAATTCTATATATATATTACATCTATGTACCGATACTGCACGCTTTCTCTAAATGTTTTACATCTATGTACCGACACTGCACGCTTTCTCTAAATGTTTGACATCTAGGTACCGACGTTGCACGCTTTCTCTAAATGTTTTACATCTATGTACCGATACTGCACGCTTTCTCTTAATATTTTACATCTATGTACCGATACTGCACGCTTTCTCTTAATATCGTACATCTATGTACCGACACTGCACGCTTTCTTTAAATGTTTGATATCTATGTAACTACATTGAACGCTTTCTCTAAATGTTTTTACATCTATGTACCGACACTGCACGCTTTCTCTAAATGTTTAACATCTATGTACCGATACTGCACGCTTTCTCTAAATGTTTTACATCTATGTACCGATACTACACGCTTTCTCTAAATGTTTAACATCTATGTACCGATACTGCACGCTTTCTCTAAATGTTTGACATCTATGTACCGACACTGCACGCTTTCTCTAAATGTTTTACATCTATGTACCGATACTACACGCTTTCTCTAAATGTTTAACATCTATGTACCGATACTGCACGCTTTCTCTAAATGTTTTTACATCTATGTACCGACATTAAATGCTTTCTCTAAATGTTTTTACATCTATGTACCGACACTGCACGCTTTCTCTAAATGTTTTACGTCTATGTACCGATACTGCACGCTTTCTCTAAATGTTTGACATATATGTACCGATACTGCACGCTTTCTCTAAATGTTTGACATCTATGTACCGACACTGCACGCTTTCTCTAAATGTTTTTACATCTATGTACCAACACTGCACGCTTTCTCTAAATGTTTTTACATCTATGTACCGACACTGCACGCTTTCTCTTAATATTTTACATCTATGTTCCAACATCGGACGCTTTCTCTAAATGTTTTACATCTATGTAGCGACATTAAATGCTTTCTCTAAATGTTTTTACATCTATGTACCGATACTGCACGCTTTCTCTAAATGTTTTACATCTATGTATCGATACTGCACGCTTTCTCTAAATGTTTTACATCTATGTACCAACACTGCACGCTTTCTCTAAATGTTTGACATCTATGTACCGACACTGCACGCTTTCTCTAAATGTTTTTACATCTATGTACCAACACTGCACGCTTTCTCTAAATGTTTGACATCTATGTACCGATACTGCACGCTTTCTCTAAATGTTTGACATCTATGTACCGACACTGCACGCTTTCTCTAAATGTTTGACATCTATGTACCAACACTGCACGCTTTCTCTAAATGTTTTACATCTATGTACCGACATTGACCGCTTTCTCTAAATCAAAATCTTACATATATGTACCGGGGTTGAAGGGTTTCTCTCTATATCTTACATCTATGCCTGGAAATGAAGTATTTCTCTAAATATTTTACATCAATAAATCGACACTTGAGGAATTCTCTTAGATAATTCACATCAATGTACCGACACTGAAGGATTTCTCTAGATATTTTACAGCTATGTACCGACACTGAAGGATTTCTCTAGATATTTATCTTCAGTGTTACAAACCGATTTTTGCTGGTCAGATTCATAGTAAGAATGGTGTAGGGGAGGTAACTGCTCGACATAGACTCGTATAGAGTAGAACCTAATTATGAATTAATCTGTAGAAACAGATTTTTCTTACTTCGTCAGTGGTGCTAAAGGTCTAAATTTTGAATCCTTAGAGGCAACTGAAGAAAATCAGAACTGACCGATAAGATGTAAAAAGCTAGATGATGAACTGCACTAGTGCTAAAAATTGAATGTTTTTTGCAATTTTCGTTGATATTTAAAAAGAATATAAAGTTCATATTTTTGACTCAATATATAATCTTAATTAATTTAAACATGCCATGCAGGTTCTGGCAAAATGTAGTCAAGAGGCACATCTGTCCTGTATCGTTTAACATGTTTAGTTGCTGAAATGGTCTCATCTAAACTATAGGAAAAGATTTATTTCTATTTCCCTTATTGGACCCGACCCTCTGACCCAAGTGGGGTCAGATGAACCGTTTATACAAAACTACTGTTTTACTTTACCCAAGGAGGTTTCAGACAAAATTTGGACACGATTGAATCATTCCTACAAAAGAAAAATGAGACCATAGTGTCTGCATACCTTAGTGGTTTTGTTTGGTTGGAATTGTTTCTTCCTAAAACATCAGGAAAATTTTTTATATTGGATGCCACCGATCTGCCTTCAGAGGGCCAGCCACATCTTTTATACAAGTCTCTTTCACTCATTCATGTCTCGGAACACTGCCATTCCTACAGAACTGTTTATACAAATTGATTCCACTTCACCCAAGGATTCTTCATACCACATTGAAACAGCATCCTGTCATTCCTCCAAAATCAAAGGATTTTAAAGAATGTACTCTGTTCTTAATCCCCCTTAATTCATATCAAGAATAATTTTAAGCAATACAATTTCTATTGAAGAATTCAAAAGAATGACCTCAATTTCACTTGTTGAGCTAATCCCCTGGCCCCTTCATTCTAGCATGCTAATGGCCCATTCGGTAAAGGAGAAGTTGTTTAAAGATTTTAACATATTTGGCCCCTATAACCTTGAATATAGGTCAAGGTCATTCATTTGAGCAAACTTGGTAGCCCTTCATCTCTGCATACTACTGGTCCAATACCATCACCCTGGCAGTTTGGTTATTGAGAAAGAGTCGAAAATGTAAATTGTTTCTAATGAATGACCATGCAATTTGTCACTCCATAGGGATAAGACTTTCTGACTATAATAACAAGCCGATAATCAAGTTATTTTATGTCTCAAGTGATATGTTTATCATACAAATTTTGAACATATCTGTGTCCCAAACTCTTACTGTTGGAACATAGAATTTGGTTTTATTTTAATTTTCTCCTGTGTTTCTATACGATTTTGTTGATAAACCATGAATTCATCCCTTTTCTCAGTGTTTGATTTTTTTATGTAATTTTTTGGCAACTTTAGGAATATACAAAATGTAATGTTTTAAAGGTTACTCATGTAAAAAAGGTTTAAGTTATTTTTCTGCCATCTGTTGCAAAATATAACAAACACAAAAATCATTGTAAGCAATAACTGTCTTGGTATTTTCAGTGGCATTAATCAGAATATGATAGTCTGGGATTGGATGACCAACATTCAGTATATCACAGTGAAACAGAACATCAACAATGACCATGGCAGCAAGTTTTATTGACATGCTTTACAAATTTTGTATTCTAACACATTAGATGTATACATTACATACTTAAAATATCCTGCTTTCCTGATTATACAGAAATAGTACAATAGCTTGTGTGACCCGTTACTATGATTAAACAAGGAAATGAACACAAATTGTCATAGGTTGTAAGGTTTGCTTGAAAGTATCATCCATACCCAGCTCTCAACTTGTTTCCTTATGCCAAAAATATGGTATGTACTTCTTAACATTGAAGGATTATTGAATAAAAATGTTGGTTAAATAACATATCTCAGTTATTGTCTCCTATTTGAAGAAACAATAATCTAGTTTTCTGGCTAGGTTTTTAGAATGAATTGGTTCTCACAGAAGTCAAAACATGCTAAAATGCCACAGGGAAGTCAAATGGGACGAATATGTCTGAAATATTATGTAGAATGAATACAGAGTTCATGACAGGAAAACAACAAAAGAGTAAAGAGCATTATAGGACAATTTCATGGAAAATGTTCAATCCTCTTCATCACTTTCAATCCTATTTTTCTTTTTGAGTACTTGTCGAAGTGGTATGTGGTCATCAAGTTCAGAATCAGAGTTATCTCCCATCTCCAAGCTGAACTGAGTAGCTGGAAAAGAGCCTGAAAATACAAAACCAATTAACTGAATGTACATCTCTTATCTTAGTTATAGTGCATACTTCAACTTAAAGATGAATACATGAATCTAAGTATTTTTTTACAATCACATATCAGAAATAAATACACTTCAAATAGGTATTAGTTTAGTGTAACTATTTATGAACTTTCAAATATTTTTTTGGTGTACTATTATAACAACATACCCTTGTTTTAGGTTCAGACCCACTGGGCTTATTGCTGAAAGCTATTATCTATCAATTCCTTTGTCTCTACCATAAAATTAACTCAGCAATTCCAATACAAGATGCTTGTTTGAAACAACGCATTTATGTACATAAAAAAATAAAATGTAGCTTACTTTGTTTAAGCTTGGCAGCTAAAGGAACATCTTCATCGCTGTCAGAGTCCGACTGGATTTGAACTGGCTTGGTAGATTGAACAGGAGCTTCTGCATCACTGTCAGAATCTGACTGGATTTGAACATGCTTGCTTTGTTGTGCATTTGTATTAGTTTCTGAGGGAACACGTGCACGCTTGGCTGGCTGTAATTGTTCATCATCATCACTACTGTCACCTAAATCTAGAGGGCGCTTCTGTGACTGGCTTGCTTCTGTGTCACTGTTGAGGGCCCTGTTGGTTTCCTCATCAACAGACAATGGTTGTCCAGCATCACTAAGGAGTAGTAAATGAATCAACTATCAGTATCAGATCGCAGCCATTGAATTTTTCAGTCATAACTATTATCCGAAGTACACTTAATCCCTTTTCAACTTGTGTTATTTATTTCAAGACTTATCAGGCTCCTGATGTTTATATCTGAAGTTTTAAACTAAAGAAACACTAAATAAACAAAACAAATCCTCAAAATTCATCATCCTCATATAATTATAAACACAAAAATATCACCATCAAATAACAAAGCTGATAAAGAAATTGAATAAATATATGCTACTTTTTGGTACAAATACATGCTACTGTTTGGTACACATATATGCTACTGTTTGGTACAAATATATGCTTCTGTTTGGTACAAATATATGCTTCTGTTTGGTACACATATATGCTTCTGTTTGGTACACATATATGCTACTGTTTGGTACATATATTTACTTCTAATAAAAATGGATTTTGAAAAAATTGTTACAGTAAACAATATGGTGTCTCACATACAGAGGTTGTGAACAAAAATAGTTGCCATATTATCTACAAATCAAACAGTGCTAGAATAATCTGAAAATTACACCGAAACAATTGCCCTTGGAATGAGGATACACTTGTGTGCTTGAGTACATCAAGTAAATATGTGTTGTAGAGGGGACCCAGAGGAGAAAAGTGTAAAATGAAAAATATTTTAAATATGTAAAATATGTACAAGGTCCTTTCCCAATTATACTTCACAACAAAGATACTTTGATAATCTTCATCTTCTGTCATAAACAGATATGACTGTCTTGTTTATTATGTAACACTGAATCATGTAAACTATTAAATTCGACTAGAAATCTACCTAAGGTGTTGTCTGGTCCTATTTACTTATTGTTCTACACTCTTTGGAGCCGGAATCAGAATTCCTTTTCGGAATCCGTTTTAGGGGAGACAGCTGAACTTGGGCACCAGATATAGGTCTCTTATTCTTTGTGTTGTTTATTATTTGTTCGTTATTAGTTTATGTCCTGTTTGATTAAGGTGGTGGAGGAAAGCCTAAGTTCTCCAAGAAAAACCCCAGAACTGCGGCCAGTACTTGGCAACTGCCAAACGAAGGTCTTGAAACTTCGACCCAGAGGTGGCGGGTCAGTGATAAAGACTGTTAGATGTCTCTACCACTTGACCACCATGGCTCCTTGAAATTTGAGTTATAGATATTTTCTGCACTATATTTTAAGGAGTTTCCCCAACATGCTGAATGTTGAATATAGTTTAGGTTGTAAATAATATATCCATTCAATTTCTAACATATGTTTTTACGGTGATGTTCCTTTAAATCCACTTCTGAACAGAAAAATCTAACCTGTCTTCACTGTCAGATTCTTTAATGCGTCTGATGCGAGATTTTTTCTTTGAGGGTGGTGTGACTTTGGCTGTGGGGTTGTGACCTGGAGAGTCTGCCACCTCAGCATCAACTTGACTTCCTCGACCTTCCAACTCCACATCATCATCACTATCATCTCTTGTAACCATTGGGGAAGGAGATCGTGTCTTTCTGTGAAAAGTTAAAATTAAGAATGATGCCCAATATTGATCAAACTATATAATCATATCCATTGAACAAAGGAAATTCTAAAAGGGAAAAGCAGAAAAAAATGTTAATGATGACAGGTTCAAATTTCCTCTTGTGCCTACAGCAGATACTACAGTTGGATAGACAAATATCCAACATAGAACCAGTGTACTCTTATCAAAAAAATCTAAAAATCAGTTTGGTATCACTGAAATTTTGCCTAAATTGAACAAAACAGCACAAACATATAGACAGCACATCAATTCAGCAAAATTAGATATATTATACAATACTTACAAATGGTCAAACATGAATATAAAAAAACTACAGAAAATTCAATTGAGCTTCAAATTGAACTTTGATACAAGACAAACAAACTCAATGTTTACATAGAAATCACTCACTTTTACCTCGTTACAGGTAAACAATTAGTTATACCTCACTACCAGTAAACACTTAGTTTAACGGCCTTCAGGGAATATAATTCGAGAAATGTTTAAAAAAAAAAAAAAAAAAAAAAGAAAACTTAAACAGACTGAGATGAATGACTTACACAACTTATTTCAGAACCAAAAGTTCAGGAAATACCTTGTTCTGTCTCTCCTGGTCTTCTTTCCCTTATCTTGCTGTCGTTGCTTGGCCATCGCTTTCAATCTCTCCATCCTTTCTGATGTTTTTTTGTCCTTTTTCACCTCCTTGACCTTGGTCTTGCTGGGTTTGGGAGCAGGTGGTTTGTGGGTTTTGATAGTATGGGCTTGACTTGGTGTCCCTTGCTCATCGAGTGTCAGGCCCTCCACAAGCTGTCTCAACTGGGCAGGGTTCCAATCACCTGGGATACGCCAGAACATCTCCTGGTAATATACCATTGGGAGAAGGAACATTATGAAATAGTGTTTTTTCGTAGACAGTTCCTTCTAGCAGGATCAGTGACAAATTCAAATATATTCTATTCTATCTTCATCTTGCTCAACAGCTAATAATGATTAGAGACAAATCACAAATAAACAAGAAATCATGACTGGAAAAGGTCAGATATTACTACTGGCGACTCCTATGGAGACCAGAATCTGATCATGGTAGAACTTGATGTTATGATACTAATATTGAACAAATCTGTTGAGAGATTCTTTCAGTAAGACATTAATAGAGAATGGGTAGAATAAGATATGATGGCTGGACATGAGTAACACTATATGCTGCCCATGAAATAGCTCGTGCATAACAACAACCACATTTGCTATATACATACAACAAGCTTTGAGTGTTTAACCATGGTGTGCTTGTAGAAACAGGTTCAACTCATGGACTCAACTTATAATACGCCTACATTGTTTTATCCCAAACAACTAAAATATTGTGTTTATATTAGATACATCAAACAAAAAAATAGCAGACTGAGAGTATTGAACTTACACATTTAAATTCATTGGCAAAAAAAAATATGCAGTTTTTGATGAAAGAATAAACAAAACACAGTATTATGAAATCATCTTTTTAACCCCTTTTTTCACCTGTTCATTTGGAGGACAGATGCCAATTTTCTTCAGGAAAGACAGAAAGCATTCATCCTCCATGGCTGTTTCATTCTCCTCGGTCAGTGGGACAATGGGAACTGGCATACTACTTGCTGTAACAAAGGAACTCATTTTGAAAATAATTCCTGTTTTAAATAGTCAACACATAGAAAATACTGTGGTACTAACAGGGATTGTTTTGTTTGATGAAGAATATCCATTACCTCAATCACAGGAAGAGAAAGAAAACTTTCAGTTAAAACATTTTTCTTGGTTTGTCTGAAGAAAACATTGGAATATCACTGCAAAAAGAACCTCTATAACCGTGTGACTCTACAGCTGTTACATTTCACTGAGGTCTTATTTTACTATATTGTATACTAAAATCTATGAATTCTGAACACCAGTGTCAAAGTAACAAATCATTACTTGGTGAAAACATAAATCAACACTTCAATAATGGTACATATGTTTTTAGTACATTTTAATCAAGTGAAAAATAGAAGTTGTGATATGAAAATAAATAATATAATGCTTGCTGAAAAACAAATATGTTACTTACCCAACTCCTCTTTATCTCCAGCTGTCCGACTCAAACCTCGCTGTATCCACTTGATTTGGTCACCGTAACCTGTATTTAAAGAATCAATACATAGTCAGAAAAACAGGAATTTTTAATCAGTTATCCTTATCAAATACCATGTGTTTGAAAAGAGCATAACTTGCCTGATGATAACATATTTCATGTAAGCACCAAGTGATATTCAAAGATGCAGATCTATCTGAAAGTATAGTTTTGTGAAGTAAAAAGGTGAAATGAAAAGAAATAACAAAGTCCAGGTGACCCATCTAGATTCCAATCAATTTGAAAAAAATATGGTTCTGCATCTAGTTGACACTCAAAACCATTGACCAAACTTCATAAATAGTAAACTTCAATATCAACACTGCATCACCAATGTCTACCTAACCCCTTTTGGGCCGATATATATGCAAACATATATATCTAACAGTTTAACAACACTCCATATCGAAGCTTGAACTGCGTAATGTATAATATTGAATGAAGGGATTCTTGGCTGTAGTTCCATTACCGCAAAAACAAACCAAAACAAAAAAGAAAAGAAAAAAGAAAGAAAGAAAAAGAAAACTTCAATGTGGCATTCACTGAAATTTCAATGAAGTCTAACCCAACCCCTATTGGGCCCCAGAAAGTTCAACATATTGATGAAAATTCATGTTCATATGATAATCATCAGCTTATTGACAGTGGTGATCCAAGGCTTGAAATGGATTTACTACAAAAACTTTTACGGTAGGGCACCCACAAGCATCAACCCTGTAGTGACAGCATATGCTCTTCCTCTTCCAAAGGGCAAGCTAACCCCCACCCCATCCCCCACCCAACAAAAAAAAATCAAAGTTTTTAATTAACTAGTTATTGTATTGGCAGAAATATATTCCAAAGTACCAATCATACTTATGGCCCAGTCTATCAAACTTCAGGGGTGTGTGCCTGTTCCTTCAGGAAAAACTTATCCTCACTAAAAATGTCTTAACCAAGTAGATGGTACTGAGGAGAATCAGATACAATAATATGTTTTTTGACAATGGTGACCAAAATATTTCCAAGGATAACTGCATAACAGGACAGCCTGAGGATTTATGTAAGTATAATTACCTTTTGCCACCAAATCTGTGATGATAGCCACCATATCATCCTGTACACCGCTGTCCTCTGTATGACCTTTACCTTCATCTTGTTTATCAGTGTCATTGCCGGACACCTCACCTTCATCACCAGAAGACAACACCTCCTCTTCAAAGTCAGATGGAAGCTCCTGAAAGTCTGCAAAAAGTGATCATTTAACAAGCATTTCAATACATGAATTTAATTGATTGATTTCAAGTAGAATCCATTTATAAAAACATCTTTTTCAATGCATTTCTACATTAAAAATATAGAATCTGTCTGGTATGTGACACATTTCTTAGCCATAACATGTATGAAAATCCTGTATCATTTTCCAAGATGAATCATTTTAAGCCTGGGAAATCTACAATTCTGTACTTAAGTACTTGAAAACTAATGATGTACCAAATGTTAATAGAATAACAATTCTTATAGCACAACCCATAGAAGATTAGACTGTGACTTTACCAAGACTATACACACACCTTCATCAGGCAAATGACAAATGATGAAGATGACCGTGTAGTCATCCAAACACCACACTCTTATCTTCTACTGGTTGTGTTTAAGAATTTCTATTCTATTGACATTATCAATCTGAAGAAAATGTTCCAAAAAAAAGTACCAAATGTATAGTCTATGCACGAACTAGTGGCAGAGATACCAGTACATGTATATTGCTACTTAAGGTCAAAGTTAAAGGTGACAATGATAAGCATAGACAATTTATCCCTGATTCTGTACACACTAAAGTTACTTCTCATGATGTAACTATAAACAGCAATATCGTACAGTTGCAGCAGACATACTAAGTCTGTTGTACAGTTGTAACAGACATACAAAGTCCGTTGTACAGTTGTAACAGACATACCAAGTCTGTTGTACAGTTGTAGCAGACATACAAAGTCTGTTGTACAGTTGTAGCAGACATACAAAGTCTGTTGTACAGTTGTAGCAGACATACAAAGTCCGTTGTACAGATGTAACAGACATACAAAGTCTGTTGTACAGTTGTAGCAGACATACAAAGTCTGTTGTACAGTTGTAACAGACATACAAAGTCTGTTGTACAGTTGTAACAGACATACCAAGTCTATTGTACAGTTGTAACAGACATACAAAGTCTTTTGTACAGATGTAACAGACACACAAAGTCTATTGTACAGTTGTATCAGACATACAAAGTCTATCGTACAATTGTAGCAGACATACCAAGTCTGTTGGACAGTTGTAACAGACATACAAAGTCTGTTGTACTGTTGTTACAGACATACCAAGTCTGTTGTACAGTTGTAGCAGACATACAAAGTCTGTTGTACAGTTGTATCAGACATACAAAGTCTATCGTACAGTTGTAGCAGACATACCAAGTCTGTTGGACAGTTGTAACAGACATACCAAGTCTGTTGGACAGTTGTAACAGACATACAAAGTCTGTTGTACTGTTGTTACAGACATACAAAGTCTATTGTACAGTTGTAACAGACAAACAAAGTCTGTTGTACAGATGTTACAGACATATTAATTCTGCAGTCATTTGTTGTATAAAAATGTGATGTGCCAAAATTCCTCCTATTTCCCAAAGATAAATGACTGTAAGACATGAATGTCTTTGTTCCCAAGCAAATGATTATCGGATGAATTTTGTGAAGTTGTGAGAGGTAAAGAGATCCTCATTGCACTGATGAATTGATTAGTATTTATCCTAATTTAGTGTATACCTTCTCTTTGTTGTCTCCTGTCATCGCCACTATCACTGTCCGAGTCTGAATCCTGCATCTTCCGCTGGCGTCTCTTGTACAGCTCCTTACGGTCCTTCACTAGTCCCAGACTAAACAGTTTCTCAATGACCTTAGACTTGCTGCGTTTGACCTCCATATGAGCTATGATACTACCAAGTGGGTCTGAAATTATAAATATATCACAGATTGTCAAGATGCAGTTTTATCAGCATGATCAACTGTTGTAAAATTAAGAGTTGTGCTAGTAAAAAGGTTATTTCAGGAAAAAAATTGTTCCAGAATTCATCATGTATACAAATGACACTATTTCTGCGGTGCACAGATGGAAAACATTTCACTGGAATAGCTGTTACCTTAATATGGAATAATAATACATAGTGCTTAGATAATTTTGAATTTAAATGTGATACAGCACAGAAAAATGTCTTGTTAGCGACAATTTCAAGACAGCAAAACACTGTTAACTATGTAAGATCTAACAGAGGTGTGTCAGGAACAAAAGTGAAAGTGTGGGTAGGATACCATATCCTCCTTTTGAATTTGAAAAATGCAGTTTTACCAAAAAATATATACCGATTGCTATGAACTAGAATATGTTTAACACCATACAAATGTGATAATAGCACTGTCATTGATTTAACAGTGTCAGTTCACACTTTGACTTACCATTTGTAGAATGAAACCTGTCGTAAAGATTTGCCAAGTCAAATTCCTCCTCTTCAGTCCAAGGACCTGGTCGGCTTCCTCTACAAAACACAATTTATTTTCACCTTTGAGAAATAAACAAATTGCTTTTCTTTAGGTTTCTGAATTCTTCTTTTCTCTTTAATTGTTAAGAACAAATCATTACTCAGAATTTCCAAATACCTTCAGAATGCAAAATGTATAAATCTAAAAAAAGGTATATTCATGTTGGAATATGAGGAAATATAATCACAGTTAAGTTTTAATTGGGATCTCTAAAGGAGAGGGCGAGAAATGGGCAAGAAAAGGCAAGGGAGGGACAAGGAAGGGTGAGGAATCAGTAAGAAAGGCAGAGTTGATACGAAGAAGAACAGCAGAAGACACAAGTTTTAAGATAGTTTGCTTCTCAAGTCTTTTGATATTTATACTCTGCAAAGCTTCAGCTCCACAACTCCCCAGCATTACTTACCCTTTCTTTCCCTTTTTGATGTCCTTGGCACTTCCTATTAAGCCCTGTTTCTTCAGCTCCCTGAGAACCTGACCTCTGGTCTTTTTCGGGTCTGTGATCCTCTCCATGATACAGTCCACCACATCTTTACCTACAATATAATACAGGTAGAGGTGAGATTTTGTCATGCGATATTGATGATAAGATGTATGGGCAAAAGTATTGCTTCAAAAAAACGTGATATCAACCAACGTGATATCAACCAAAAGTAACCTTAACCAACATCAAATTTAGCGGTGTCCATTGTATCCTGTCCTGAGATTGGCATCGTGTATTTACTACCAAGTTACATTTAAGTCATCTTTTGACAATAGCACAAGAGTTTCTCGAAGATAGTGTTGTATGTTGTGCTTATTATGCCAATTGGGCAGTGACAGCTTTTGTGGGCAATAATAAAAAATGCGAGAAAAGCAATGCTTGGTAATAATTGGCAATGGAAAAATGGGCAGGTTTGGATATGTTGGCAATTTTAGTAATTGTTGGCAATTTGAACTATCATTATCTAGGTTAATTGTTGGTTGTACTGACAATTGCCTGTTGTTATCTGGTAGATTTCTACCATCCTTCACAAGTTTGTACTGTAGCAAAAACAATGAAAGGTTGAAGATTTACTCAATGAAATCATAACTACTATTGCTTATATCTGAACTGTCATATTTGTTTACTATTACAGAAAGTGTTGGCAGTGTTTATGGAATATTATCAGAAACATAAAGGAGGTACGAGTGGAGTAAATGTTTGTCGGACAGTAAGATCAGTTATACTGTTACAAATTATGAGTAATAACACAACTAAGACCTGTAAATGGCAGCAGGAATTTTGTCTTTCATTTGATACAAACTTCATCAGACTTCAGAAAAAAAAAAGAATAACAATCTACTGTAAATTGTTCTGGCAAATATTTTTTTCTCGAACACTTACTTGTATCCTCTTGGTCCCTGTACTCTTCAAACAGGTGTCGCACCTCCATTTCCAGGTCCTCAGTCCACAATACCTTTGCTTTACTGCAAATAGGACCGTTTTCAAACATTAATATACTTGTTGCTAATCTAATGGTCAGATTTGTGAATTTTCAAGGTTTGCTTTCAGATATATGTTCGTGTGACAATGTTCTATCTATTCTGCTACAATGTTACCTAGTATCAGATATGCTATCTATCTAAAGGTTCTACAGGGACATGTTCATCCACCAAGCAGCTTTGTTCTTGACTAGTTATTCTATATCTTTGACTTACAAACATTAAATTTTTTTTTACTCAAACATACTTGACAGCTTTCCATTACTTTCACAAGGGATAGAAGCCGATTTAATTTAACTGATTCCAAGAATGTTAAGGATTGAAATGCACAATATTAGGAAATTTTTGACCCTATTAAATTTTCGCCTATTGGTCATTAGTGTGAAATAACATGTGGACCAATAGGTGATGTTATAGCTGAAAAGTATACCTTTATACACTTTATTGCATATTTGAAAATGGAAAACTTCATGCAAAGGTGAAAAACCTTCGGCAAATATTTCTCTGTTATAAGTAGCAATCTTTGACTGCAGGAAGATCGTATATTTATTACCTTTGGTATGTACCATATCCATCTACTAATTCACTTGCTTCCTTGCTCGACTTCCAGAAAAGTAATTCCATGAAAGCTTTTGGGTTCTTTTCTGCTGTCTCCACAAAGTTTCGTACGGTGAATGTTGCAAACTTAACAAGTTCCTACAAAATATTCAAGGAGTAACATAGCTTTGGTTCACAAGCTGAAAAATGCACAATATCTCTTCAGTCTTATTTGCAATAGGGCATTTAAGTATTTACTAGTTTGAACAATAAGCTTCAGTGGCATTTACACTTTAATATATTTCCAAGCAGAAATCCTACAGAAATTAGATCCATTGAAAGTCTATATTATCTGTTATCCATTAAAACCTACCTTGTAGCGGTCAAGCTTGGCAAGTGGGCTAAGTAGTATGCGTTGGAACAGTCGAAACAAGGACGCCTGGAACACCAGACCTGTGTGTCCGAGATCTACACTGATTCGGTGTAACATCTTTACTATACAGTGGTTAGTATGTGTGGTGTTCTTGTCAAACTCAGCCAGCAGGAGAACATAGCACTTCAGTATATTACCTGAGCTGAACCTATTAACAAGGAATCCCATTTAATGATGTTTCATTCTTTTCAACAAATTTACATCTCACAGTCTTTATAGTGATTATCAAAATGCAACTGGCAGTCTGACATGTGCAGTAAAGATTTACCAGACATACATTAGACTAAAAGGAAAACAAATACAAACATTACATGTATTAACATAGTAATTTCAATATAGTTTGATAAACTCCGAGATTTAGAGATTCTAGAATTAAACAGAAATATACACACTGACAGATACATACATTTTCAAAGTATTCTATTAATCACTTCTTTATAGTAAAAGTACAACATTAAAGAAACATACTTATTTACAAATTCTTTGAAGTTGAATTCCTGCTCAGATACAGAAGCTGTGGTCACCTCTTCTTCTTCAACTAAATGAAAGAATATAGTTCTTTAATCAAAACAATAACAGATACTTTATTCACCTCAACAGAATTATTTTCGGATTTTTTATTAATATTTGATAGAGGCAGTAAATGTTCTTACTATCTGCTCTTTCCTCATACTCCTCCAATACATTCTCCTCTGTCTGACTCTCCTGGGGTGTCCCTACAAACAAAAATAAATACATCTAGTAAGATAAATCAACAGACTCCAAATTTATAATCTGAAGGTTTGAGCATCTTACTCTTAGTGAATGTTGCCCTGCTGTCACATTTCAAACATATGTAACACTATGATGTGAAAAAAAAGAAGGAATGTTTTTCCTTACACAGAAAAAAGTTTTTCCATTTTAAAAAAAGTCATAATTATAAGCTAAGCAAACACTTTTGAATTGTTATCAGATATATGTGGATTCAGTATCATCAGTAACCACGTGCATACCTGAACCAGCTATATGTGGATTTAGCATCATCAGTAACCACGTGCATACCTGAACCAGCTATATGTGGATTTAGCATCATCAGTAACCACGTGCATACCTGAACCAGCTATATGTGGATTTAGCATCATCAGTAACCACGTGCATACCTGAACAATTATAGATCTTACTTAATAATCTTTCTGGCTAGTCCATTTTATATTTGTATACCTCTCTTAGACTCAAAATTTGGAACATATGTAATTTCTCTCATGGAAATTCTAAAATGCTAAGAATTCAGGATATTGTAATGAACATTCAAAGTCCCAGAATGTGATGCTGAAGCTTACGTGGTAGAGTAGCCATGAAGATTTCCCGCAAGGCCATGAACTCTTCCTCTGGACTTATGTCTGCACTCCCAAACTCATTTCTCTCTGGCCAAATCTCCCTGAAAATATTTATTTTCGGTCAGTATCTACATGCAGACTAAGAAATAAAGAGCAATCGCAACAAGCCTGGGATATGTGTTTTTGTCTGCAGGTCCTGATGAAGCCCAAAGTACGGGCAAAACCAGTCGACGAATAAATAAGAAGAAACACATATCCCCGGCTTGTCGCGATTGCTCTTTATTTCTAAGTTGGCCCCTTTACTCCAATCACCCTGCATAACCAGTGGGTATCCAAGCAAGGGATAAAAGGAACTTAATGAACTTTTCTTAAAAAGCACGGCATTGGCTCTATCTTAGTATCTACATACAGACTAGCTACAAATATGTGTCTGAAATAACCAATGCAATACACCAAAGACTATCTAGACATTCAAATGATGGATTTAAAAACTAAATTGATATTGATGCAATGATTGCTTTGTAATAGCTAATCCTGATTTCTTCAGCATTAAGCCTCTAAACAGGCACAATGACATTTGTAAGCAAGTCACAGGACATCCATTTACATCGACTTGGATCTGGTTTTTGACTTACCTTGCAGCTCTCAGAAGAGCGATGCTATTTCCTGGCTGGGAGTGTCGTAATGCATCTTGTATACTTATCATAGCTTTAACTCTAAAACAAAAATGAGGGAACTTTAATGCCTTGTTTATTTATCAAATATCAAATAAATATTGACATTTAATCAAACATTAACAGCCAGAGATATATTTCAAAGGATGTAATTAAAGTCTACTTTTCATCAAATGCTGCTGATTATGAGCTATGAACATGTTGTTGTCCAATACTCATAAAATAATATTGATGCTTCAGCTTTACTCCAGACTTGATACTGGAATCAACTCTAGTGACATGTTAACAAATCAGGAAGATGTTTACCCTTGAGTTTCCATGATAACATTAATTCAACTATTGATGCTGATAGGACAATAAGCTAGCATTTCTTCTCTTACACATTGTCAATACCTTTGTTGCTCCTCCTCAATTTCTGAGGCTGCATCAAATGGAGAGACATCTGTTGGTATTTCTTCACGTCCCTGGAACAGGGAGGATAACTCTGTTGATAGGTTGTCCCACATGTCCTCTAACTGTTGGGGTGTGTGCTCCTGGGGCTCAATATTTTCTGTCAATGCATTACAAAATTATCATTGCATATTATGTCACTAATATCAATACTCTGTGTATTCAGTGTTTTACATAGTGACATCACAAATAAATACTATGTAACATTATCTATTCTAGTTCCATTGAGAACTGTTTTTGAATGGAACCCCTTGTGCAAGGAATAATCAGAAATGCAAACATGTCTTAATCAGAGAAATATCCATCTTATATATAAAACATGGGATGAAATAAAAACACATACTTTCTGCTTAAAAAAAGTATGACGTTCTATTAACTAGTAGTGTAGGAGATTGAGCTTGAAAAAAAGTCAAAGTGTAGATCAGAGTGACTGACTTTTCTTACATGTCAAATTATCTCACCAAGGTGGACCTATACTTAATATATGAAGTTCTAGTGACAAGAAGTATAGAAGACAAAGCCCAAACAAAATAGAGGAAGGACATATAGACAAACTGCAAAAAGGATGAAAGGACATCACACAAAACTACAGTCCCTCCACACTTCTAGTTTGGGACTAATCAACACAGCTATCCAACATAAAATCATCAACAATACCTTTTGCTACATCCTTCTTCTGTGATTTCTTGTTTTTCTTCTTCTTTGTCTGAACAACAAGATGAGAATTTCTCCGTGTTTCACTCTCAAGCATCTTCAGAAACAGGTGTGTTGTCTCTACCAAGTCTTTTAGGTAGGTCCTTTAACAGAATCAAACACTAGTAACAACATATTTGGACTTGAGCCTCCATCTTATTTCAGTAAATATGGTTATATCCATGTGCAAAATTTGGATTCAAAATTAAGGATTTCTTTTTTGACATTTTCACTGATGTGTGCAATATTTAACTATAATACAATAATTTACACTTTGGCAGCTTCCCTTCCTTATCATACCTACCAAATTCAGCTCAACATCACAGTAGAACTGGAGAAGTTTAAAATATGTTTTTCAAGATGACGGCCATCCTAGATTTCAGACTGACCTTGACAACAGATCATGCCATTTTAAATAGGCTGCTTTATGTTATATTCTACGATTTTATGTAGTTATCTCATAAGAACCGCTTACAAAACTATTCTTATGTACTAAGTAAGATAAAAACTAGAAATGTGCACAGGAATTATCTGAACGAAAATCAACCTGTACTGCATTTGCATCTGAACCCTAAAATCAGCAAATTTCCATGCAGTGACTAGAAAGTATTGCTCTGGTTGGTCAAACCTGTGAAAGTTATATCATCACCATTGATGATATATGATTTCTTATATCATCACTGCACTGATAATATAAGATTTTATTCAATTGATACATTTATAGGTAATAAAGTTGAGTATTTTGCTCATTTTCATATTGACAGAGGCTCCAGTAGAAGCATCTAGGATGACACCTATTGAAAGTCAATATTCAAAGGATTTCCTCATTCTAGCTATACATCACTTTAAAATAATTTATCGATGCAAAAGATTTCCAAGCCTTAAATATACTCTATTGTCTTAGCAGAAAAAGAAATCAATGCTTTAACTTGACATAGAGACTGAGAAGTTTAACCATATTATTTAGTAATATAGATATACATACCGGGATTGTTGACTCTGATTAAACTTCCTGAGCAATGTTAAGAATATATCTCTGAACTCCATCATATAAAAGATGTTGCCTTTTAGAACTTTGGAGCTCTCCATCAACTGTGTGTTTTTGGATCGGTCCATTGAGTCAAGTGTTAGCAGGAGTTCCTGATAGGCTTTTAGGGCCAGATGTACACTGGAATATAAAATATTATGATATAAAACCACACATAAATACTGACAAACACTGTAACATCCTTTAAAATAGAATAGTCAAGAACAACATGTACCAGTATGTATATTGTAAGTATCTCTAATGTTAAATCTATTGGGCAAATGTAAATGACAATTAATATTTTATTGTCTTCTAACTCTACTTTATGGGAACTGCCAGTAATATAAGTCAAGTATAACATCAAAAATCAATCAATTTCACAGATCACTAATTATGACCAATGTATGGACTACAAACTTCAGTTTAGAGGAATCAAATCAAAGATAATATGAGGCAAGTATAAAGTTTATAATTATCTTATTTCATGATTTGCTGATTAAGACCTATGTCATGGATTGCTGATTAAGACCCATGTCATGGATTGCTGATTAAGACCTATGCCATGGATTGCTGATTAAGACCTATGTCATGGATTGCTGATTAAGACCTATGTCATGGATTGCTGATTAAGACCTATGTCATGGATTGCTGATTAAGACCTATGTCATGGATTGCTGATTAAGACCTATGTCATGGATTGCTGATTAAGACCCATGTCATGGATTGCTGATTAAGACCTATGTATGGATTGCTGATTAAGACATATGTCATGGATTGCTGATTAAGACCTATGTCATGGATTGCTGATTAAGACCTATGTCATGGATTGCTGATTAAGACCTATGTATGGATTGCTGATTAAGACATATGTCATGGATTGCTGATTAAGACCTGTGTATGGACTGCAAACTTCATTTTACAGTTATCACTTATAATATGGCCAGAGTATAGCTTACTAATAGTTATGCTAGAATACCTGTATATCTGTATAGGAATAAACCTTTGTCTATCTTGGTGAAAGCAGAGTGAGCTATCGGCTTATCACTTGACTGATTGTGTTTTGCTTTTTATAGTCATCTTTAATTGGATTATAACAGGATCAGACAACAAACAGTTGCTTGTAAAAGTTCTCTCTATCCAAGATGTTATAGGACAAAACAGTGAATCATGCAATATTGTCTAAACAAGACTTTTCAACCTAAAAGGAGCTAAAGGGATATTCTGCCCAAGTTACGAAATTTACGGCTGTTCTTAAGCTATTAAGAACTCGTTGTAATGACTTTTAAAACTATAGTTAGTATCAAAATATCTCTCCCGTGGTCAGTTTGGACAGGCAAAATTGGTGGAAATAGTCTCCGCCACTATAAATTTTACTGTCTAAATATAGGACATCAGGAAATCTTGAACTGAAGGATCACTGGAACATAGATTTTATACAGAATACAGGGTATTTAAAAAGTGTGTAAGCTATTCACTATCAATTCTACTGGGTTACTACTTCAGTACTTCAGAAGGCCTATTTTCTGTTGATTTTATGATTTACATCAATATTTCACTCTATCCTGCTTACAAAGCAAACCTATTATGATGCAATCAGGAGAGTGCAAAAGTCTACAAACTGATCCATTTAGAGCTATAAAAATTTAATTAAATATCATGTTTATTTCAATGGTAATTTGAAGTGAACAATTTCCGTAAGAACGTAAGTAGATGATTTGGTACAGTTTTCTTCAAAAGCATGTTTGGAAATCCTTACTGGTGTGGAACATCCCTTCAATGAAAAAAGGTCACTTATACATCACCATACATCTCCACTAACTCTGAATCAATATGAAAATAGATAAACCAGATACAAATTGTGATACTACTTACCGTTTGCCCCAAACAATGGCTTCTTTTTTCTCCATCATCTGCATTTCATAGTATTGTATCATCTGTACTTGTATGTAATGGAATGCTTGGACAGACAAGGTCTCTGATACCAGTTCAACACGCTTACTGTGATGACGACAAAACTCCATGAAGAATCGAATGGCCCAAAGATAATAAGTCTCGTCATGTTCCTGTGTCCTCTCATGATTCAGGATATCCTTTCACCACAGAGACAACAAGATGCATTTAATTATCAATCTTTATATCAAGAAATATTTCTCCTTTCACCACACTGCCAAAAAGAGGCATTTAATCAGGATATCCTTTCACCACACTTCCAAAAAGAGGCATTTAATTATTAATAGTTACGTTAAACAAGTAATTTCACTATTTGGGCTCTTTAAACATGCTGTATGGTTCCAACATGCCATTGACAAATTGCATGTGCAGTGATATTTTTTTCCTCAGCAGCTATGATTGCTATTGCTGTAAGATCCTAATTGTGAAGATGACCACTTTCGTGTCAGATCAGTTACACTCAAACATGGGCCAGATACAATGGCAGTGTTGGAGGACTGTTAGATAAGTCACATTTGTATCCCTCCCAGGTTCGTTCTTTAAGGGAGGTTTTCCAGTGTTTAACTTAATGGTTGAATTGAAAGAGAATGTAAGTGAACACAAAACCTTTTTGTCACTACCTATCTGCATCATGTGGGCTCAAACAATTTACAAATAAAGAGGAGGTCTTTTTTTTATTTAGACCGATGTTTTTGTTGCGACAGAGCCACCTTGATAACCAGGTCCACACAGGAATTCATCATTTTGGACACAAATCTACATAACTATGACGGAATATTTACCAAACCATTAAATCCTGGAAAGGAAATCATTCCTTTACAATATCTTTGTTTTCTTGTTTGTTTTTCTGTATTGTTATATCTATCGTGTATTGAGGCAAGTATTGTATCACAAAAAATTGTATTGTTACAGTCCTAATAATATAATTTAGAGTAAATATATCATGTGAAAATGATAGATCAATTACATGTATATTATCAATAATCATTCCTGTGTGGCTTTAGAATATAAATAAACACTAACCTTGACAGCATACATAAGAGGGTTGTAACAGTTCTCCAAAAATTGAACACAGAATTCTTTCAGACCAAGACGGATACTCAGAGTTGATCGTCGCAACAAATCCTTGTCTTTGATAGGCTGTCTATTTTTTGCAATCTTTTTTGGTTTTTTGTTCACATCGAAAGTCAAATTACTAACATCATGTTGCGCTTTATGAAAAATGACATCTCTTTCACTGATAGATTTCATGTTCTTAACTACATAAGTTCCACCAAAACGAGAATGCCTGAAATAAAGTTTGTAACATGGTATGATTGAATATTTGTATAAGACTGGACAGAAGATTACAGAGCATGTTGAAGTCCTGATAACAGACCATTATGTATCTTTATCTTTAACATCAAAAGATTGGGATGTAAATACAACTATCATGATGTTTTTATATCTGCTGCCTTATTTTAAATTTGATTAGAAAAGAACTAGTCTTAAATTATGATGACATAAAAAGCAGCAAAACAAGCTGCATTATCAAGTACAAAATTAAATAAAATCAAAATGGTTTTATTTTCAATACCTTGTACTGAACTTCCTATGATCAGAGACTTTCCTTACACGTTCCTGTTCTCTAATCATCTCCAGTTCCCTTCAATCAGAAAATACACAAATTATATAGAAATACTAGAGTTGTACATCTTATACCAGGAGCTGATAAAATCACAAGATAAAATTTGAAGTATTTCCTTCAGGTTGGAAATACAGGTACATGTGAATAGAAACACTATCCCCTTCATCAGACAAATGACATGAAATATACACACACTGGGGAGTAAAGAGCATGGTAACAAACCAATTAACCTCTAGAGCTACACTTTAATCTTATGTACCACCTCGAACTTGTTGGCAATATTGACATTGTTTCAGAAATATGCAGACCAATTAGTTCATTAAGTGCAGATAAAGCTCTGAACAAAAGGTAGTTTTTCCAGAGACAAATAAGCAAGTTTTGATAACTTATGGTTTAATCCATCTTACTCGAGTTTCACAGTACAGTGAAGTTCTGTGTATAATATTACCTTTCATCTTTTTCTTTCTGACTTTGTGATCGTGTAACACCAGCACAAGCAAGCACGTCTGGTGTCTAAAATTAAATCAAAGGTCAAAAACACTGAAATACATCAGTTGATTTAATTTTATCTTGAATAGACTACAATACATTAAAATTTTGTCAGAGGATTTCAAAGTTTTGCAGTAAAAATAATACTGATATAGAATATCTTTCTACTATGGTATTTTCTCTTCAGTCCACTCCCCCCCACTCCCCCTTAATAAATTAACCTATTGGATCAGTTTAAAGAGGAAAATATCAAAATTGTAACATAAGACAACAGATCTGATTTTTTCTTAGGTTTCAATAAATCATTTTCAGACTCAACAAGTTCATTGGAAGTAAAAACCAGGTTTGTGTCTCAATAATTTTGGTTGATGGTCACATAATGGAAGCTGTACTCTCTAGGTCTTTACCAACTCAAACAAATACAAGTGTTTTAATCCTGTATTATATTCTTTAATTTGTTATAATATCATAAATGATGACTGTCATTTCTTAAAAATCAAGAAACTATCAAATTTGCTTCAGACTACAGTGCCTCAAGTCTCATCTGACACAACAAAGTGTTATTTTTGAAATCTGACATGTGACTGACCTGCTCTCGAAACATCAGTGACACAATCTCAAGGACGTGCATGGAGAACTGACGTTCATCCTCTGAGCTGGCAATGTACAGCAACAAATCCTCAAGACCACTGCAGTGTATGGCCCTAAACAACACAAACATAAATGTGAATCGGTGTATGGCCCTAAACAACACAAACATAAATGTGAATCGGTGTATGGCTTAAACAACACAAACATAAATGTGAATCGGTGTATGGCCCTAAACAACACAAACATAAATGTGAATCGGTGTATGGCTTAAACAACACAAACATAAATGTGACTCGGTGTATGGCCCTAAACAACACAAACATAAATGTGAATCGATGTATGGCTTAAACAACACAAACATAAATGTGAATCGGTGTATGGCCCTAAACAACACAAACATAAATGTGAATCGGTGTATGGCTTAAACAACACAAACATAAATGTGAATCGGTGTATGGCCCTAAACAACACAAACATAAATGTGAATCGGTGTATGGCTTAAACAACACAAACATAAATGTGAATCGGTGTATGGCCCTAAACAACACAAACTTAAATGTGAATCGGTGTATGGCCCTAAACAACACAAACATAAATGTGAATTGGTGTATGGCCCTAAACAACACAAACATAAATGTGAATCGGTGTATGGCCCTAAACAACACAAACATAAATGTGAATCAGTGTATGGCCCTAAACAACATAAACATAAAATGTGAATTGGTGTATGGCCCTCAACAACACAAACATAAATGTGAATCGGTGTATGGCCCTCAACAACACAAACATAAATGTGAATCGGTGTATGGCTTAAACAACACAAACATAAATGTGAATCGGTGTATGGCCCTAAACAACATAAACATAAATGTGAATCGGTGTATGGCTTAAACAACACAAACATAAATGTGGATCGGTGTATGGCCCTAAACAACACAAACATAAATGTGAATTGGTGTATGGCCCTCAACAACACAAACATAAATGTGAATCGGTGTATGGCTTAAACAACACAAACATAAATGTGAATCGGTGTATGGCCCTAAACAACACAAACTTAAATGTGAATCGGTGTATGGCCCTAAACAACACAAACATAAATGTGAATTGGTGTATGGCCCTAAACAACACAAACATAAATGTGAATCGGTGTATGGCCCTAAACAACACAAACATAAATGTGAATCAGTGTATGGCCCTAAACAACATAAACATAAAATGTGAATTGGTGTATGGCCCTCAACAACACAAACATAAATGTGAATCGGTGTATGGCTTAAACAACACAAACATAAATGTGAATCGGTGTATGGCCCTCAACAACACAAACATAAATGTGAATCGGTGTATGGCTTAAACAACACAAACATAAATGTGAATCGGTGTATGGCCCTAAACAACATAAACATAAATGTGAATCGGTGTATGGCTTAAACAACACAAACATAAATGTGGATCGGTGTATGGCCCTAAACAACACAAACATAAATGTGAATTGGTGTATGGCCCTCAACAACACAAACATAAATGTGAATCGGTGTATGGCTTAAACAACACAAACATAAATGTGAATCGGTGTATGGCCCTAAACAACACAAACATAAATGTGAATCGGTGTATGGCTTAAACAACACAAACATAAATGTGAATCGGTGTATGGCCCTAAACAACATAAACATAAATGTGAATCGGTGTATGGCTTAAACAACACAAACATAAATGTGAATCGGTGTATGGCCCTAAACAACACAAACATAAATGTGAATCGGTGTATGGCCCTAAACAACACAAACATAAATGTGAATCGGTGTATGGCCCTAAACAACACAAACATAAATGTGAATCGGTGTATGGCTTAAACAACACAAACATAAATGTGAATCGGTGTATGGCCCTCAACAACACAAACATCGATATGAATCAAGTTTATGGTTGTCAACAACACAAACATCAATATGAATCAAGTTTATGGTCCTAAAGGTAAAACAAACATAAGTGTTTGTCAAGTGTATGGTCCCAACAACAAATATCAATGAGAACAATAAATGGCCAAAAAGAACACATTATGTCAATGTCTATTTCCTATTTTCATCAGAATAAATGTTGCAAATCTGATTTCGAATGAAGGATCCAGGATACATATATAAAAAGACAATTTATTTAAATACAGTAACTTTTGATTATTGGATATGGTAAAAAAATAATAAACAGATACATAAGTTCAAATGTGATCAATTTTTTTTAGTAGAGTAAATCAACATCTCTACAAACACAAACATTTGATGACCTTCAAACAAGTTTTTAACACTCAGTAAAGATACGTTCAATGATGTGAATATATCAGAGCTAGAGAAACCTTACCAGATCACTTGATCGTGGATAGTGGCATCATCATCAGTTCTCTGTCAACAAATATACATTATGACAATGTAGTTCAGAACTGGAGCATAGAACTTTTAATACTTACATATAGAGATAAACATATATATACTTTATTCATAATGCTTTTTACAGGTGTTAAAACTGAAAGAAAAATTTTTCCAAGAATAGTGTTTAAGCAAGAACATCACATTGTATTCCATTCAGAGTACCTAACATGTTAAATGAAAGGGTGTGAATCAAATTAAAGAAACATGGAATTTAGTCTTCTTCTGCTAAAAAGAAATTATCATTTTACGATTAAAAGTTTGATCTTGATTCCATCTGACCTCAAACAAGTTAGGTTTGTATGGGGTTTCATGTACACACAACAGTTCTGGTCATCTGAAAAGATGTGATGAGTGGAGTATACTGGATTGAAAGCTCATGCAAACCTGTTCCTGGTCCTGATTGGGTGGTACGTGGAGAATGTTTCTGATCAGGATAAGAATTCTCTCTATGAGGAGGCGGTCTTCCTCTTGTCGATGCTCCCAGTCCTATAATACAAGTTAAGCTATTCATTAGCTAGACTAGCAGTCCCCACAACAAAATCGAATGGTTACAAATCAATTATTTATTTTAGTAATAAATTAACTTGTGGGAAAATGGTTACTATCAATACAATTCTTCTTTAATAGTCATAAACTTCATGTTTACAAAATCATACATCACCTGTTGACATCAATCAATAAACATCTATACAATCTCAAGTGTCATTTCCATACCAGAACCAACTTACTAAAGGCGATATATATATATATGGTGAAATCTATCCAGCTGTGATAAATGACATGGCGACTGGTGAACTGACATGTCTGTTAATCTTATACTCCAGAACTCACATGTTTATATGTTACTTTGCAACATATCACCAACAGAATCACTAAACATACCTGATGTTAATGTAATGGAAATATGTTTTTTTTCTGAATAATTGACAGATATATGGCCTAAATAAAAACTACTGCTTGTCTGGCATTGATTTTCCAACCTAAAAATACATCCTCAACTGACATTATTATAATGAAGTCCTTCTTTCTTGTTTTAAATTATTACTTGTATGAATGTTACCTCTGGAATTTTAGGGCTCCAGATTAGCATGGCTTTTCCACACTCCTTTGGGAATGTTTTTTCCCTCATTTGAGGATTTGACGATAAACTTATAGAATAAAAGAAGAGTTTCCAGGATGTTGAAAATCCTTTTATTATACTCATATGTTAATTACATAGCAATGATCTCTACTGAATACCAGCGGTATCTATTCAGGAACATGTCGTTTTCCTAGACGCCTTGAGTGATGGTTCTCACTATTTTAGTTTTCTCATTTGAAGAAGGAAAAGATAAGTTGGGAAGGAATTTTCAGCAGTAAACTATATATTTTGGGAATGTGGCCATATTATAAAATAAATCAAAATGGAAATGTGGCCCATATTTGGCTCCACAAAGGTCATGGAAAAAAAGGCATGACCCAATTCTGCATATAACAGTGTTTCCTATTTCAAAGTAGTTGAAATGCTTGCTTCTTTCTCTCCCCATCACTATATCAGCTGAATGACTATATTCAGTGACTAGGGTCAAACAGAATGTAAATTTCACCGGTTGGTTTTCTCTCCAATTGCAATATTTTCCCTGTCTATCAATCTAAACAAAAGATTACTTTGTCTAAAAAAAAGATGTTAAGGATAGTCTGATTTCAAATGATATGCACATAATAAATGGGCCCAACTATTTGTATGTTATTATTTCAAAAGTCAAGGAAAACATACATAAACTTGATTATGACTTTTGGCAGATGAAAACATTAAAATAAAGATGAAAAAAAATCTTACCAGCTTTAGTAGTTGCCCTAATCGTTCTGTTAAAGTACTGAAAAAGTCTTCATCCACAAAAACCTAGAAAATAAGTAATTCAAACAATACATAATGTGTCTTCAACTGATTTTGAAATACACACATTTATGCACAAGTTTGTCAAGAATGTGACAAAATATCAGGAATTCATTGTCAAAAAGTTAACAGAATACCCTGTAATAACATGTACATGTCTGGTCTGTCCCATTTTGTTAGCATGGTAATTTTGAAGAACGCTTGAAGTAATGCAAAACAGGAAATGAAAATCAAGAAAATTCTCAAAATTCATTCAAATATGCCATTTTCACTGAATCTGAAGTGAGTAAAACAAAACATAAAAACTTGTAGCCATTTCTTAAAACTTGATTTTTGTTTGTTCTGACAAAATAATTTTAGAATATGAACTTTGTTATACTAGCTTACATAAACATACCTCTAACTTACCTCCCCTTATCTTTTAGAGAGGCTGTAATTTTCGCTATTTTCCAGCGTAACTACCTATCTTTCTGATTCTAAAGGTCCTAACCTTCATATCTTATAATCTACAATTAGTATACAGTTGAATCAATATCAGAAAGTTGATACCTAGAACACGTAAATCATCAGGTTTATTAGCATAAATGTTTAGCAAGTTCTCTGCTTAATAACAACTCATATAATAATTAAAAAAAAAACTTATCCATGGTATTGTACTTGACATCTGTTTCATTTAAATCCCTCAAAAATGATGTTAGGGTAATGGGTGTTTGTTTTTATAAGGTTTAACATCCTTACAGGCTTTCAAGTCACTTGTCATAAAAAATAAGGATAATTAGGAAAATAAGGGCCCGCTTGAAAGCCTGTCCTTATAACAACCAGGGTCATATGTTATAATGTACCTCTTTGTAACCTTGCAGCTCTGCCTCAACCTCCAGATAATAGTTGTACATTGTTTTATCAGCAGGAACAGCATTTTTGAAACAAATGATAGCAGGCTGTGTTAAGTTCACCAGAACCCTGTAACATTCAATCAGCAAAGATACACTTGTACCAATAGTGAAAGTTTGTACATATGATATGTAACACGAGACAGATGTTGATGTAGAACTTTAAATGTTTTCAATTTGGTTGCAAGAAAAAAGGATCATTCACCAGCTTGTTTTTTGCAAAAAGTCTGATTCAACAACTAGTGAATATTCAAATGCCATTTATCTTAATTTTTTATCAAAACGCTGTTACAAGTTGATCTCAATTTCATAAAGAATGTGGTAAGTCAAGCATGAATTTTATTTTTCTATAACATAACTTACTAATTGCGAATATTTCACGGTACTAATATCTTGATTCTATCACTTTTTCTTCCCCTGTATTAGTACTCTAGACATGATATACAGGTTGTTGGTCATTTTATTGGATATTATCATTACACTAGTTATGACATCCTTTTTTTTATAACTGTTTCTCGGATACATTTTCCAAATCATGTCAGATTAGAACAAAAAATGCAAAGGTAAATATGTGCACAAAAGCTATTGTGAAAATAACAGTTGTAACATTCATAAAGATCTGAATGAACTCTGTCAAATTATGGAAGCCTTGTGGCTAAGCATCAGGATTTAAATTAACAACAATTAGAGTTGTTATTTTGTAATGAAGAAACCAGGAGGCTTGGATGTAAAATGTGAGAAGTACACAATACTTGTTTTAATAGTTATCATTGGTCCAAATGTACTCCTTCATAATTATGGTAAATAATTTACCTGATGAGAGTCTCAAAAAGCTGTCGTTCATCATGGTGCTGCTTCACTAATGGAAGTAGGTCACTCTGCACAATCTGAGCATGACCAAGCTGCCGTCGAATGTCACAAGTTTCATCTTCACGCTTCAGAAATCGAATCAGGTCCTTAACAGTTTCTGAAAATAATTTAAACAGATACACATATACATATTTAATATATAGTTCTAGCTTCAGGTAATATGAATTTTCCTTATTCTCAGCGTGCTGTCCTGATCCATCATGATACTGAAATATAGCATACAGCTGTGTACCATTAATAGATTAAGCACCAGTACTTATGCCAGTAATTCATAGTTCTTATTTATTCAGTTGCAAATGACTTGCAAAATCTATACTTATATAAAATAAGAATTAGGTCCATAGTGGTCAGTTAACCTAGATTCTCCAATGCAGCCCTGGAAAATTGCCAGATTTAGCCGTTTTCCCCTATTTGGTACAATCAAGATAAAATGTACCGAAGATTTCAGTAGCTATCCTGTTTTAACCCTGGAAAATCTGATACCCTTGTGAATGACCATTTGTGTGCAAGTTGTGGTGTGTCTGATTTCAACACAGTGTTAACTTGTGCGAGTTCAACAAGCAAGCCTATTGTTCGAGGTTCTGATTTGCCACATTGGATTTAGCAGGCCTTGGTTACGCCAATCAGACATATACGCAATGTAGTGAATTTAACACTTGACTGTGTAAAGAAAATCAGTATGCATCAAATATTTATATGATCGCATAATTAACTTAGAAACGTATCTAATAGATGCGTGATGATATTGTTTACATACATCCGAATGAAAATTGTATCTTTTTCGAAAGCAAATAGTTTTCACTTACTTCAAATAAAACTATGTGAGTTCACACACTCTTGTTCAGTGTTAGTATGTATAAACTGAAGAGAAAACATTCCCTTTCTGATCCTTTTTCTGACAGAAAGAAAAAGGTGATTTATCATTTTACATAATTGGATAGGAAATACCAGCTCTGTCCATCTGATGAGCTCCCTCCGTACACAGCTTATTATTATGATGACATTTTTAATAGCGCATCAACACATAAAACATCATTAGGGCCATCAACCGGTAAAAACACACAGCGATCCAAAAGGAAATAACATTAAACAAACCATAAGGTAAAAGACAAATGCTAAAAATCTTAAATGGGTATATTAACACAAAAGATTAAAATAGTAAGACAGTCTATTATATAGACCAACATCTTTCAGGTAACCTAGAATTTTGCAAATTTTAACAGTTTCAAAAAGGGTTTTTAGACATGTAATGTTACGATAAAAACATTCTCAAGTAGAAAGAAGATCAGTACAGTCCAATAAAAAATGTTTAATGGTGAATGGCTCATCGCATCCTATGCACAGAGGATTATCTTCGCCTTTCAACATATATGAATGTGTAGGGTATATAAGACCATCCGAAGACGGGCAAGGACAACTTTGTCCCGGTGGTTGTCTCTATCACATGGAGATCATTCACTGATAACAGGTTTAACAGAGTGCAATTTAATATTGGTATTTGTAATCCATTCCTCCGGCCACTGAGCTGTTAAAATTTGTTTAATAAATGGTTTAAAATCGGTAAAATGGAGTTTAAAAACAACAGGTGGTAGCAATAAAGCTTCCTTTACAGCACGATCTGCTTTTTCATTGCCTGGTATTCCCATCTGCCCAGGAGCCCAGCAAAACGCAATACGAAAATGAAAGGCAAGTTCATAATATTATATTAATGTATTACGAATGAAAATATTTTTGATATTTCTATTGCCAAGACTTTGTTGAACAGAAAGAGAGTCCGAATGGATTACAGCTCTCATTACTTTGTTTGAATATATCCAAGGGGAGGTAGATAGATTGCGCTTCTGCCGAGAAAATTGAGACGTTGTCCGGTAGCTGGCATCCATAGGTTTCATCTTGTGCCTTACACAGCTGGAACAGATTCTATATTCTATCGGATGTTTTTAGAGAAATATTGAAATATTAAGGAGCCATTTGGGAGGAACGGTACTTTGCCAATTGGAGTAAGCTGGCTATGGCATGTCGAAAGCCAGTGCTACCTGTCAGCAATGTTGACCATAAGACTTTTGCAAAAATGCAGACTGTTTCTTTCAAAACTTTGACATGATCAATATCATGTATAAATCTACTGGACGCACTGACTACTCTCCATCTGAAGATGTTTTGACTGTTGCAAAAAGAGCAGCCTCTTTGTACATTGCAGAACATAAATGATTACTGTATCAAAACATTTCAGTTGGACTTGCCAAACATGAATAAATTACAACATAATAGGCCAAATTAAATCAATGTTTTTTATCTATTTAAAAAATCAAATTGGACACCAATTTTTTTTAATGGAATGAAAAGTGACACGAAAATTATCATGCTCTTCTCTGATTCGAGATATGAAATCAGGGAAATCTCCCTCATGGGAGGTTTCAGAGGTTGTAACCTACATGTATTAAGGTCATGAAATATAAACAGCTCTAGCGTTTTCAATTACATATTATACCTCTCATTATCATATGACATTTAATTGAACAATATGTCGATTGTTTTGTAATATTGTTTTCGGCAGAAATACCACATTTGTAGATTGACTAATATCAGAGACGTATATATACGTCTCTGCTAATGTAAAGCAAATGTATCTACTTTTATTCAGTGTCGCTGAGCCTGGTATTATTACAGAAAAAAACCAATAACAAAGACATATCTCCATTCTGACAAAGCATGATAAATTAAGAAAGCTTTATCAAAATACACAAGAATCATACCAAGACAGTCTGGTTCTTTAACATATCGGTTCCCCTCCAGGTATCCAAGTGCGGTACATGTGGCCTGTAACTCCACATGCATCATGACAGCAAGGTCTCTGGTAGCATCAACCTATATTCTTAAACGAAATTGTTCTGGTAGATTTAAATAGTAATTCTGACTACTACAGTCCACAGTATTCACGATGACATCAGATGATAAATTTCGCGCCTTTATAAAAGCGCAAAGAAATCGTTGAAGACGCTTTTGGCTTGACTAACAAACAGAGCCGATTGAGTTGTTCAATCCGGAAGGTTTTGGGTTGCGAGACATCTGCCCGTAACCAAATGGCTGGCGTTCATGTTTCATACGAAAGTCTATGACGATAGATCGTAAAATAGATAAATGAAAATTATTGTTTATGTAAAGACTGTGTTAAACAAATAATAAATATATTCACAAATCTATCAGCAGTAATATCATGGGAACTACCATGCAATTCTGATCTGAAATTCAGTTCAATAGCATTTGATATATTCAAGTCTTAATAGTAACAGTGCTATATTAAGGTATGTACTCGGTACGGTGTCTGATTCCTGAAAGTAAATAAATATTTGTAAAAATCTATTAATAAATTATTATAGATTTATATTTGAGTAATGATCGGAAAGTGCAGATAAAAAGGACTTTACACGGATTTATTTGGCACACATAAGTCTACGGGAACACCGTATGCTTACTATTATGTCTAATAAGGGTGATACAGACATTAGTTAGCTGTTCCGATAAACAGTTTATTTGGATTAAACTAGGACAGTGTTTAAACTGCAGAACACTGTTATACATGTACAACTCATTTTTATGAACCGAGCCGTAATCTATGAGAAAGGAGGAATGCTAT